ATATAACTTCTGTAAAAATTTTGAAAATTCTTGTCCAGTTTAATAATTTCACTTCTATTAGTATTATCCGGGGTCCTGGTCTGCAAATGCCCATGCTCGAACATTAGCACTAGGCCGGGCACTAGTGCCTTATGCCACATCTGTGCCTATAGGCACAAAAGTGCCAGACACTATTAAAAGCATAGACACAAAATGCTAGGCACAAGGTATAATTAAATAATAAATATCCAATTTCTGTGCCTGTGCCCATATCCATGCCGAGTTTTTTGTGCTCGTATGCCTGAATTTTCGTGCTCATGCTCATGCCTAAACTTTTTATTGGGTACAGGCACGAACCCGGGTTGCAGACCCTTAATGCTATTTATCGTTTATAAAATAACGGTTTTAAATTTACAATTGTTATCAACTGAATTGACTGTTCTTATTATCAGACAATGATGTGACATATTAGCATTTGATTTTTTATCAAGTGTGTGTTTAAAGGGTTTATCTGCCTGTTTTTAAAGTTCCAAGGTGAAAGGATTTCTGCAAGACATTTTAGAATGTCTAAATCTAAAGCAGCTATTTTTTTTTTGTTCCAACTCTTACCCGTTTATTAACAATTGCGTGGCTTTTTTTCATGTTATATTATGCGAGTTGTTGATACTGTACTAATAACTTTATGCTGGATACATATAAATATACAGTATCAAGCTAAGATTTTTTATTTTTAATTTTTTTACATTTATATATGTATACAATATTGGGCAAAAATTGTCGAATAACAGTAATTTGACAAATGAGCACGTGCCGCAAAGCGGCACGTGTAGCCAATCATTTGTTGAATTACCGTATTCGACAATTTTTGGTAGGGAGTCGCTCGCTGAGTTTTATTTTTTGAATATTGGAATAACATAATTATATCGTAACACATGAAAAAAATAACAAGAAGAAATTTTTTCATGATCATATGAGTTTGCCACAAATTAAAATTTTAATTACATAATTATATCTTTAACTTACATTAAAATAAAATAAATTTTTTTTTTTTTTATTAAATTAATAAATATTTAAAATGATGAATTTGATAAAAGTTTGAGATACTTAGTTTCAGAAATTATCTCCTACTTATCCCAACTACCACGAAGAGGTGTATCTCATTGGTTTGGAAGGCTGACATATCGATATGTAATGTAAAGTAATGGTCATACCCGATTAACTTTTTACCCGAAAGGTTATAACTTTATAACCTCTATAAAAATGCGCCGTCATGTAATTTTTTATAACGATCAATTGTATTTTTAATTTATTTATTAATTAAATTATAAAAAACTAGATATAAGCATTTTTTCCTTTGCATTATTTCATGACATTATTATGAATAACGATTTTATACGTATATATAATTTTTATCCAGTAGAATCTAATTCGGGACATTTTGCTCAGGCATTATAAGGAGAATTTCAATCACACTATAATTAGCGGTTCCCTCTTACTTCACCGACAATTATTTCACCGACAGTTCATTTAGTCAAACGAAACCCTAACATACCAAATAGGTTACCGGTGGAATGATTGTCGGTGAAGCTACATTTGTTTAGCATATTAATATTAAGTAAATGCATTTTTTTCTACTCGACATGATATAAATATCATATGAATGACGCCAAGGGAAAATGGGACTTGATTGAAGTCGCATTTTCTTGGCGTCGCTCATATATGCATTATATTATCTTTTGAAATATAATATTACAAATAACCAGCAGTTTAAGAGATTTTTTTTTATATATAATATGAGTGACGCCAAGGGAAAAGGGAACATTCGTTTTTATTGATTATTTATCTGATGATCGACAACATATCAGGCTTGACAATTTCAAGGATTTCAGAGGTTAATTTATCATAATGTAAAGCCCAGATGTGTTGTCAATCATCAGATAAATAATGGCGTCACTCATATAATGTAGATTTCCTTTGTAAGGTTTTTCAGAGGTCCTGAACATTTTTACTTAGAGCACCCGATCCCATTTACTTGGTATGTTTTAGATATATAAGCATCCTGGTGATAATCATCACTGGTTATAGTTGGTAAGATTCTTAACTTTTAACCGGATAAATTAACTGGATATCTTAAATATTAATCCACCGATTTTTTACTACGTAATGTAAAAATCCACTCGGTCATTTTATTATGTATATTACCTTATAATGAATTTAATAAAATTTCGAAAAAATTCCAGTGCTGCAAATACTCATTGCGATTTTTTAATATAAAAATTCGATGATAGCCCGCAATAAAAATGTCATAATATCACAAAATCACAATATAATATATAAGTTTTATGTAATAGTTATTCACGTTTTACGTATCATAGATATCATTAAACATCACGGATCAATCGAGATATTATTCAAGATTTTAATGTCATCGACGACAAATACGTGTAACAACTGATTTATTACCTGGATCCTAATTGTTCACCCATGACTTTTTTTTACTGATATTCCCACAGTTGATATGAGAATATCAGTAAAAAGGTCATGGATGAACAATTAGGTGCCGTGTATTTACATATAATACTTTTATGATATCTGATATATCTAAATTAAATTATACGTAATTTACATTATATGCGATCATATGATTTGCAATTTTTGCATCTGCATCTAACTTTCAACCTTGTGACTCTGAGGCCTTACACCTTTTTGTAGAAAAAGGCTGTTTGCAAAGGTCGCAAATAAGTTTAGAAAGATGCAAAGGTTACGACTTTGCAGCAGGCATCTCTAATTCCAGTTTCCTACTCTCTTTCATTTTTACGATCCTTATTTTATTTATTATAGAGCCAAAATTTCATTCTTAACATTTAATGACCATGGTTTATCGTAGTTGCCTATAATAATAAGAACCAGGGATGGTAAATGACAACTCATACAGGGCAATTCCTGGTCGGATGGGCCGGAATTTATCAATTTTGACTAAGATCACTAAAAATTTTACTAATGAAATTATAATCATAATCGTTCATTAAGTAAAAAATGCCTGATAATTTTACTATAGCTCCTGCTAACTAGTATAGCTAACCCTAACTCTAACCCTAACGCCGATGCATTCCGACCAGGAATTTCGGGATTGCCCTGTAAATGACTAAGTCATTTACTAATGTTGCGATAATTGTCCAAAAATTCTTTTGATCCAATAACTACCTATCCAAAATCGATGAAATTTTTTTTTTATTTTAAATAATTATATTGACTATAGAATTAAAATAAAAATTTTTCATCGTATTTATCGTATTTATCGAGATATTCTCGCTCAAATATTGAAAAAAACTTAGTCGCAGCCTCTGTTTGATAATCGCCTAAAATTTTTTTTGAGGATATCTCTATCCAATTTAAAAAAAAAAAAATTACCACAAAGTTTGCGTGGCATAATCTTTTTATTGAGTCTGTAGAACATTAGTGTAATTTCTGTGAAATACGATTAGCATTAGAATAATGAAGTCTTGACTTAAAGTTAAAATTTTGCAAGAATTTTTTAGTTTCATAGGATAAACATAAAATATTCGTTTATTTTGATTTTGTAAAAAAATCTTTTTTTTTTCATGGCTGATACTTCCGTTTTCTCTTCTAGTTTAGTCGTTGCTAGTTTTAAACAGTACATTTTGTAAAATGGTTAACACCAACAACTTAATAAATAGACATTACTAAAGTTTACAGCGGGTCATTGGCTTCGTTTTTTTTCGTAAAAATTTTGTAATAAAAACATAATGGCAAAAATATAATGGTATAATAATGAAATTTTAAAATTAAATGCGTCACGATTAAGGTTAAAATTCACGATATGAATTCGACTTCAAAGAATTTACATAGACATAAATAATATTATAATATTACTAGGTAATTGAATTTAAAATTCTCTCGTTATAATTTTGACAATTGACAGCATACGTAAGCTTATAGTCGGTGAGCAATTAACGGTTTGGCAAAAGAAACCCGAATAATCTTAGATTCCTTGCTTTGTTTGGCAATACTCAATAACAAGAATCTCCCTTAGAACGTATTTGTTATGCAAATAACTAACCTGTCGTTGCACTTAGGTAAATATCTAAGTCAGATTGTTTTTTTGTATAAGGTAAAAATACTTCTACAAATGTTAATAAAATGTGCGCAAAATTTAATAGTACAAGCTTTAAAATTAAGTACTAAAAATATGTTTATACTTCTATCTATCGATAGAAATATAAATGACGCCACAGAAGAACCTAGCTATACCAAATTTTTTAGTTTGTTACATTCAGAGTTTATTCTAGAGAGGTTCGTTATAAGGAGAGTTGACTGTATCAGTCTAAGTAAATCCTTAATGTTATAAGCGTACTACAGTATCTGCGTGTATGACTTTTTATATTCTTTTTTACAAACATATATGGACAGAACCAATTTCATTTAATAAATCTTCATTGATATTTATAAAGATATAACAATCATCAAGCCTGATAGAAGCAACCAAAAACAAGAAAAACTGCTTAAGATAAAAAAAATATTTCTTTTTTGCCAAACCTTCGATAAGAAATTCATAATTAAACGAAGTCAGGATTTTTGGCAATTAATCTAGCAAATTCTATCAAAGATCGAGTTGGGCGTCCTATAAATTATTCAAGTGTTTTAATATAAATTATCTTATATAACTAAAAAAAAAAAAGTATGAAAAACAATGTACTAAACCTGTCATGCCCTTGACATTATATCCTGAATCCCGATATGTAATCATTGAACCCGCGATATCAATATGAGCATACCGAATCTTTTTATCATCATCTGCATCCACATCAAACAATCTTTCAGAACTATTTTCCTTTTCACTGACGTCTGAGTCATCTGTCAGCCCACACACGAATTCTTTCAAGAAAATGGCAGCTACACATGAACCTCCCAGCCCTTTTTGCCCAACATTTACAAGATCTGCCACAATTGACTTCTTAATATCTTCATTATATTTATCATCTAGTGGCATACGCCAAAAAGGATCATTTGCGTTTTTTCCTGCTTCTAATAATTGTTCCCAAAGTTTATTTGAATTGGTAAACACGCCTGAATAAATTTCTCCGAGTGCAACAACCATAGCTCCAGTTAATGTAGCAACATCTATCAAACTGTGTGGTTTATGAGTGGAGCTAGTATAATAGAGCGCATCCGCTAAAATAAGACGTCCTTCTGCATCTGTGTTGTCAACCTTAAAATAGTTGATTAACGTTATGTTACAAATTAAATAACCATGGAAATATGAAAAAATATCAATTTTTATTTATACCTCAATTGATTTGCCATTCATGGCCTTAACGACATCACCAGGTTTAGTTGCATGTCCTGACGGCATATTTTCACATAACGGAACTGAAACAACAACATTTATTGGTAATCTAAGTTTGGCTATACCATAAATTGCAGATGCCACTGCAGCTGCACCACCCATATCTCCTTTCATTTCTGCCATTTTAGCTGATGGTTTAATAGAAATACCACCACTAGTTTCATGCGTATAAAAAATATTTTAAAATAATTCATAAAACAAATAAATATTCTATAGAGATTATGTATGTGTACTAACCTATCAAAGGTAACACCTTTCCCCACAAATGCTAAAGGCCTTTGCCCTTTTTCTCCACCATTATAGCAAATTTCTAAAAATTTTAATGGTTCATCAGATCCTCTAGAGACTGAAAGAAATGATCCCATATTATGTTTGGTTGCCCACTCTTTGTCATGAATAAAAACTTCTACTTTTGATAAATCCTCCAAGAATGATTTAACAGTATTGGCAAAGTTAGTTGGTGTCATATAATTTGCTGGTGTTTCTGCCAATTTTCGAGCATGATTTTGTGCTTCGGCATAAATTAGACCAGTATTCCAACATAAGTTACCATCGGTATTTGTAGATGTTGAACCAATTGGTGATATTTTGGGTGGAGCTTTATGGCTTTTGATGGATTTTAAACTATCGAACCTGTAAAGACCCAGAGTAGCACCTTCAGCTGCGCCTAAAGATATATTAAATATATTAGTAGGTAATTATGAAATTTTTTTAATTAATAATCTATGAAAAGAAAAAAAAAAAAAAAAGCATGCAAACCATGTTCATGAAACATAACATCAACTCCAACATGCTTAACATCTAATTCTCGCAATGAACGAATTCCAACAGCCACCTATAAAAAAGCAAAAAATAAAAAAAAAATAAAAGTTAATATAATGTCATTTATGCATATCATAATAAATTTAACTGATATTTTACAATACCGCTTTGCGTGTTATCTCTAAAGCTTCAGGAACACGGCTTTGTTCAAAATCTTTATTAATTCCCAAAGACACTACAGCGATTTTTTTTGGAATATTCTCATCATTTCCACCTAGACCATAAAACATTCTAATTTCTCCTAATTTTCCTTTTAATCCAGAAAATCGTAATTGCTCTTGAATGCTTGTTCGTATACTTTCAGGAATTTCATTTGTTGCAGTATCCGTAAGTGTTCCATCTTTGTAAGAACCTAAAACAAGCGCATCAAATTCTGATAGCGATTTTCTTTGATCACTCATCGTAGAATATCCTGAAAGTTGGCCACTTATCGTAAACTTAAATCGACAAGATCGACGAATCGATGTGAAAAAAAGTGAGTGAGACTTATAAAATTTTATTGAGATTCGATTCATTTTGGTTATCGGATTTTTTTAAATCAATCTTATAGTTGATTAGTCAAGATCATCCTGCACTATGCAAATGTGTGATACTGGATTTCCTTTATCAAAATATCTTTTTAGTATAGAAGTATAGATATGCATTAAAGAACTTTCAATATTTCCTAAATTATTGGTTTCAATAAAGCGAGTACGTACCTTACTTAATACTTTATTGAAGTTGATGATTTAAGAAATATATCACGTACTTATGGTGTAAGAAATTTAAAAGCAATAAGCATTCCCTATAGCCATAATAATCAAGTACCATAAATGTACGTATGCAAGACCCGGGTCTATTTCGCCACCAATTTTTAAGCCTTAGTAGACTCCGGATCTAGTACATGCTGAGAAGTTATTTCGTGAAAGAAAAAAATTTAAACTGCATATACACTTTGCACTTATAATAGGCAGTCTAGCTATTTGAAAAAAATCACATTTTAACAAAGATTCCGTGGTTCGCAGTCGGATCTAATTCTACTATTTAAGAGATCTTGATGTATACACACATTTACGGTAGCATATTGACGTCAAGTATTTCTATAATATAAATTATCGAGTATACACTTTATTGTGCTATGTAATAATTTAGAGTAATATTCAATTTCTTATTTATACTTAGTCTTTATAAAGATGATTGTAGTTTTAAATTTTCTTGCACCATACGTACCAAATAATGCTTGGATTCATGGATATCAGACCATTTTTTAGCACAATCCACCGGATTTTTACATCCGGTCAATGAAATAAAATTCGGTCAAACAAATCTACATTTAAGCAACTACATTTTACAGTCATAAGTTTCTTGCATCACTAAAAGTCGTTCGCTTGGTGTAGAGGTAGTAGGGACACAGAAATATTTGCATGCTATTTTCACTTAGTATAGGCAGATTATTTTTTTGACTATTCCACCATTTTAACGAACATTACGTGCTTGAATTTGGAAGTGCAAGAGTTTTATAGATGATGATAACGAAGTAAAATTTAATAATTCACTTTAATTACTTAAATTAAAATTATCAGTAATTATTACGATTACTGTCTCCACAATTCAAACTTTAGGCTACTCACAACCCTGGCGCAAGTTAGAACTGATTTCGGATGATCTAACGGATATCGATATATCATTGCCGGATTCATTAATGGATTTTTCAACATTAGTATCAAGCATTAATTAATGATACGAGATTGTTGGAATAAATAAAATAAATAACTTACATAAATAAAATCTGATTTTTACATTTTACAAATCCTTTTGCAAATTCTGGTTAATTGTGGCTTCATAGAAATTATAATCGCATCAGAAACCACAAGATAATATCTTGGTTCTCATCTATAGTATTAATCTATACAATATTTTTACTTATTATGTGTGCATAGTACCTTCCCAAAACAGAATTGGCATTAGTGCTCGGCACAATCAAACAAAGATCGCAGCTCAACCAATACTATATAATTAGCTTTGGTTGATTTGCGATCGTTTGACGTCTGACTAATCACAATTTGGTTGATTGTGCCGAGCACTAGTTGACATTGGACAGTGTCCAAATAAATAAATTTAATTGGGTATTTGAACGTTTAGACTATATCTAATTTGTCTAAAGTATAATTTTTTGGACTTCTAAGCCATGTCCAGACTTATGCGGTTTCAGGGATTTTTCATTGTTTGAACAATGAAAATCCCCCGAAATCGACACTCTAGCCAGTGGTCGTTAGAAGCAAAACTAGCTAGCAAAATTAGCTAGTAAATTATTAAAATAGCCTATTACAAAATTTATGTTTGTCAAATATAAATTTTAATGTAGTCGTATGCTCTTTGATGTGTTCTTAATCTATCATTTTAGTAAGTTCTCTAGTCATTTAATAGTTTAGTGATAGTCACATGCTTAGTACAAAAATGGCAAATTTCGCATCTTACGTAGCACAAACAAGGTTGCCAGCTATTTTGCTGGATGCTACCAAAATCCACTGGCTCTGTTCTAAGCACTGGACAATGTCCAAAAATTTACAAGATTAATTGGACATATGGGGTTTTTGCCTTGAAAATCACGTTATGGGACATAGTAAAGACCCCATATGTTCAATTATACGGGTTTGGGTCAAAATCCCAATGAACAAAATCCTGACAGGGTCAAAATCCCAACAAAATTAGCCAGGATTAGCTTAATGTTGGCCAATTTTTTA